GTCAAACCTGGATAAGCGAGAGTTCAAGGGAGCACAATCCCATTCTCGCTTAAAGAGGTTTCTCACTAACCCGAGTTTCTCGCTAATGCTCCCTCTGAATTTCATTTCGCGATTTTCCGGATTCAAACGCATTCACTACTTTAAGTTTATCACTTAATGACAGTACTTTAATTTTCCGTTATGACATGATGCAGAACAGAACTTTCCTTCGCAATTGATTAACGATAAACTGAGTAAGTCCGACAAACAGGACGGTACACAGGCGCACGTGTCCATTCGAAAAGAATGCGATAAAATAACAACGTTATTTAGTTTCACAAAATAGAATAGGTTCAATATTGACGAGAAAACAATACAAAAACAATGGAAGGAAATTCTACAAAAGTTAAGAATGAGTCATAAAATAGCAGATGTTAAATTTGTAATTAGTTTTTTCACTTGTTCCTCCTAAATAATATAAATAAATAAAGCTCGACTGTCGCTTATAGAGGTATAGATAAGTAGCAGTCTCACTTACGGAGGTCTATGAGGGAAAAACGACTCTCTCTTACAGGGGTTTCTGTTTCTCGCTAATAGAGGTTTTGGGAGCTTAAAATGACGGTTCCTGGCTATTACTCTCACTTATAGAGTTTTCTCACTTATCCAGTTCTCACTTACCCAGGTTTGACTGTACTTTGAATTTGTTACTTACCTATTACCTCGAAAATATTTGTAACTTAAGGGTTTTAAGGGAACCATTCCGATATAAAACGGGTTAATTATAGCAATACGCACCTCACGAGACCATTGTGTGCTGCCTTAATTTAGATTGCGGGTTGACGAATACTAATTTGCATAAATAGTCACTAAAACAAAGCTTTTTGCAGAAATAAAAAATCCACTGTAAAGCATAGGTATGTACACATATTATGCATAGAATTTAGTTAAGGATATTTTTAGGGTCCTACCCACCAAACGACTTCCCTTGCACTCTCTCATTCTATGTATGTATGTACGATCCCTCCCGGGGTCAGTAACATTTCTATTGATAAGCAACTTTAGATACATGTAATTATTATTGAGTTAAGTCCATTACACGATTTTTATTTCCACTGCATGATGAAATGATTATTAGTGTTGAATTTAGGAAAACTTGATTATGGATTGATGTTGAAAAAATTTCAAGATTTCAGGTTTCAAAGGTAGGAAATATTGATACATACCTCAACCTACCCACCTACGTTTTTTTTGTCTAATCACTACATATAGACCCTAATAATAGGTTGGGGAAAATGTTTCTTCGCATTTTTAAAAATAATTTACAACATTTTTTAATTTAGTTTATTTACATTTAACTAAAGTATGTAGGTACCATTTTGTTCGATAACTTTTTGGCATCTTGTAGGTAGAGACATGATCCCATTGCTATAGAAATTTTGGGGCTTCTGATCAAAATACCACGACAATTGGTTCTGGCAATCCTCTCGTTGTGTTAACCTGACACTGCCTAAAGAATTCTGAAGAGACCGAAACAGGTGGAAATCTGAAGGTACAAGGTTAGGACTATACAGCGGATGCATTAACACCTCCCAGCCAAGCTTTCTTAATTTTTGCTGAGTGGCTAAAGATATGTGAGGTCTAGCGTTATCATGATGAAAAACCACACCCGTTTTGTTGATTATTTCCGGCCGCTTTCTCTCAACTTCTTGCTTTAATCTCATGAGTTGTTCGCAGTAGAGGTCAGAATCGATGGTCCTGCCTAGTGGTAACAGCTCATAATGAATAATGCCCTTCCAATCCCACCACACACACAGCATCACCTTGTTGCGAGTTAACCCGGGTTTCGCCACAGTTTGTGAAGCCTGACCGGCCTTTAACCACGACCTTTTTCGCACGTTCTTGTCGTACGTGATCCACTTTTCATCACCAGTTATCAGCTTCTTCAAAAATGGTTCGGTTTCATTACGTCGTAATAAATAATCACAAATGAGTACACGGTTCATTAGGTTTCTTTCAGTGAGCTCGTGAGGTATCCAAATATTGAGCATTTTTGTGTACGCAGTTTTTTTCAAATGCGCCAAAACTGTTTTGTGGTCAATTCCCAGTTCTTCAGCTACGTCGTAACAACTGATATGCATATCTTGCACCACTTTTTCAAAAATGGCATCCATTTTGTCCGTAATAGGGCGGACCAAAGCGACGTGCATCTTTGACATCAAAATTTCCGGATTGAAAACGTTTAAACCGATTTTTTTTATTTTTTTTATTGCTTAGATGGGTGGACGAGCTCACAGCCCACCTGATATTAAGTGGTTACTGGAGCCCATAGAAATCTACAACGTAAATGCGCCACCCACCTTGAGATATAAGTTCTAAGGTCTCAGTATAGTTACAACGGCTGCCCCACCCTTCAAACCGAAACGCATTACTGCTTCACGGCAGAAATAGGCGGGGCGGTGGTACCTACCCGTGCGGACTCACAAGAGGTCCTACCACCAGTAAAATTTATGCTACTCTCACAGATACTGCACTAGGCCATAAAGATCGCAAATTTGTTTCGCGGCTTGCTTTGCATTTTTACCTTTTTTGTAGTAAAATTTTAGAATGTATCGAATTTTTTCATTAGATTCACTCATCTTGACAGTACGAAAAATAAATGAAAATCATACATTTTCCAAATTTGTATTTGGAATTATCTTCTTTAAAATTTAAACTTTTAATGATACCAAAACCAGCCAGATACAAATAGTATAGCCACAGAGATTTTATTACAAGTTCATACATACTATAATGCGAAAAGACTTTTCCCCCAACCTAAAAAGCGCGAAAAATGCCTTGGTGTACATAGGCAATTCAGACTTCATGCCTAATCGAGATGTAAATGGATTTAATTTTTGCACTCTGTTCAATTGTACTGTATTCAATTTAAAGATCTTTAAAGGACATTAATTAAACTAAAACAAACATGGCATTACTTTTAAAGTTGAATTAATTTGAAACTAATCATAACGCATGATGTAATTTATGACTAATAATCGGGTATTGATGTCTATAGTAATCTCATATTTTATTTTGGGCCCAAGCGGTTTTACATGTAATGAAGTTAAGCTTAGCTTAAGGCTGCCTGTCCACCGGAGCGGAGTGAGAAAGTAATGGGGAGCGGAGTTTAGTACCTACGCGACGAGTCAGTGCACACTGCAGGCGCGCCTTGCGCCCGCGCCCGCCCTCGCTTCCCCTCTCCGCTGTCTCGCTCCGCTGTCTCGCTCCGCTATCCCGCTCCGCTTGCCGGTTTTGTATGAAATTTTAAACTACTTAATTCGCAACTAGAGAGGAGACTGTCCACTAAAGAGGAGCGGAGATTTTGTGCAATATTATTGGTTAATATTTCTCTGTTTCTCCGCTCCACTGCCTCGCTCCGCTCCAGTGGACAGGCAGCCTAATTTAGTTGTTTGCACGGCAATTTTTAATACTATTAAGTAGTTCATATGAGTCGTCTATTATCAAAGGCGGCAATCTGTGCATTTGGACAACAAAATTTTATTGATATGTCAATACAGATTTATTTGAATATAATCGTCTCCTTCAAAGAATACGGTTCAAAACCTGCATTAAATAAAGGTTAATAGTTAACCTGTTATTTATCTAAGATGTCGTTCCGAAGAGTTTTGTGACTGCCGATGGAATACAAAGTCAATAATTCGTTTTTCTGATTTACCAATCATTGTCCAAAAGTCAGATTGCCGCCTTTGATAATAGTCGACTCATATTACGTAATATAATAATTACTATAATATTACGTACTGTACTATAATATTACGTAGTTACTTTCTGTTGTTTTGATCCAGCACCCAGCACGATACTCCAGTCGTCCAAGTAAGTTACTGTAGATATCTTAAAAGGTATATTTTACGTTATTTTTCAATATATTACAGATGATTCAATGCTACACAGAAAATCCACATCAACCTTTAAAGTGTTCGGAAGCTGTTCAGGCTTTTAGTAATTGTGTTGCATACTCAAGAGCTGAAGATTAATTCCAGTATTGCCTAGTCTAGTTTAATATTTTAGTGAAATCATTACCGACAAAAATATTTCATGAGCATATATGTTTTGAAATTTATTGTATAAAGTTACAATTTAATATTTGATCAATGTAAATAAATGTTAACTTTTTTTTAACTATTCAATATCTACGTAACTGTGTGAAAAAGAAATACGTATTTTGAATAATTTGGTGAGTTTTTATTGTTTATCCGATTGATAATATTTCCGAGAGCTGATCAGTAGCGTACAGTTAATATAAGCTATTTACAATATTTTATTTGTTTGCTACAAATTGCATGCAGTATGTACCGACCCTTCACACCATGACATCATATGCTGTAGCTGCTGTTGCCTTAATAATTAACCCATATTACACTGAGTTTGTTGTATTCGAGGTAGGTTACGAAATATTTCACAATAAAACTTAAACTACACCAAGAAATTTGCGAATGAGTTCGTTTTCAGCTTTAAGCACGGTTTTAATATGCCCTGCATTATTTTTTTCATTCTGGAGACCATGCTAGCGATTCCAGCTTCCATCAACATTAGAGGTTTGGGTTCAAATTTCATTCAAATTATCCTTGCTAATTCGGTGTAACACAAGTCTTGCGGATTCTGTGAAACCAGCGCCAAAAGCCTTTCCGTGTTGGACCAGCACCTGCTCTCTCTCCCTATCCAGCTCTTTCCCTATCTGCTACAATTTTATCAGACCAGTCTTCATTTACACTTTTTTTTACTTTTTCTTAGTAGGTTTACGCATAATAAGACGCAGTCATGACTTATAAATTCATTTGGTGTTTGTGAAAGTGCCAAGTGCGAATCGAATATTACTAGACATGACTTCCCGAGTTTTAATAATTTCTCTAAACTTTGATTTGAAAGAAAGGATTTGGCAGTATGACCTTTTTTCTTTTGCCCACCTACCTGGACAAAACAAACAAATGTCTCGTTAGAAGAGTAAAATTTTGAAAGTTTTGATCCTGGAGTTCGTAAATAAATTAATAATAGTTCGATTTATTATTTGAATTAAAAATTAAATTTAAGTTTAGCTTACAATTGATCTCATATAAATGTTATGATGGCCAGCTTTAACTTGTCGGTCTAGCGATGTGCCTAAGAAAGAAGAACATTTAATAATTATTAGAGGTTTAGAGTTCAGGTTTGAAAATGGCTTTGGTCAACCCATGTGATATGTTTAACGAAAAAACAAAATGCCATACAATTTTGGACAAAATAAATACATTAGACGAGAATGTCGCAACTAAGGTAAAAGATATTAAAAAACATGTAAGTACAAACTGATAACTAAGGTTCTTTTATTCGACTTCAAGTTCCTTTTTGTTTTAGCCACCGGATATTAATGATTTTACAATTGTGAAGCCGATAAGTCGAGGTGCGTTTGGTAAAGTTTTCCTAGCACATAAAAAGAATAACAAAGACCAAATGTATGCCATCAAAGTAATGAAAAAATCTGAAATGATAAATAAGAATATGGTAGCACAAGTTGTGACTGAAAGAAATGCTTTGGCTCTATCTAGGAGTCCTTTTTGTGTTCATTTATTTTACTCACTTCAGTCAATATCATCTGTGTATTTGGTAAGTTTTGATTGATTACTACTAGATTTTATAATACTGAATAAGTATACTATTTTAATGAAAACAAAAACAATGTCTATCAAAAGTTATGCATAATTGATCTTTCCAATGTTTTCCTTTGTCAGGCTATGTAAATACTAATCTTTAAAAGCGAGGACGCTCTTAAGGTGACCTAATGATTTATTTTTCAGGTAATGGAATATATGGTTGGAGGTGATTTAAAGTCTCTTTTAGGAGTCTATGGTTTTCTGGAAGAAGCTATGGCTGTCTTTTATATAGCTGAAATAACACTAGCTTTAGATTATTTACACAAACATCACATTGTACACAGAGATCTGAAACCTGATAATATGTTGGTATCAAAAAGTGGTCACGTTAAACTCACTGATTTTGGTTTATCAAAAATTGAGATACATAGAGGTAATTCGAATTTGGGTTTATTATTGTTGTTTAGTTTATTTGTAAATGAAATTATAGTAATAAGAGTAATTAGTTTGGGGTTTCACATCTGATTAACGTCATTCACACAATTTATGTGGGGAAAATGATTAAAATGCAATTTGTCAACATCAAGGAATATTCCTTTTCGGCAATTTATTAAAATTAAAATGTGTAGCATTATGAACAGAATAAATAAATCATCGATAATTCNATTGTTGTTTAGTTTATTTGTAAATGAAATTATAGTAATAAGAGTAATTAGTTTGGGGTTTCACATCTGATTAACGTCATTCACACAATTTATGTGGGGAAAATGATTAAAATGCAATTTGTCAACATCAAGGAATATTCCTTTTCGGCAATTTATTAAAATTAAAATGTGTAGCATTATGAACAGAATAAATAAATCATCGATAATTCAAATATTGTAAAGATTATTGATTAAAAAAAAAAACACTTTTCTATGAGATGCATATGTTTTCAGTTATATTTGTTTTCTTTTAGATTTAGAAATATCTGATTTCGTAAATAGAACACCAAGTTTAAACATGAGGACACCTGGCCAGCTTCTATCTTTAACTTCACACTTGTCATTTGGCTCTGGCGGGGGAGAAAGCACACACAACTCTGTTATCTCAAGTGATGCCTGTGAGAACCTTCTTGATGAACTTAAAGAAACCTGTATGATTTGTTCTTAATTAAAGAACTGAAAAAAAGAAAATTTTTTTAAATCACTTACACATATTTCATTTTTTTTGTAAAGTGAAATATATTGTCTTGGATCGATTTATTCTTAGTAATTTCAAATGTTAGTTGAAATGAAATCTAATGCAATGGATATTTTATGAAATATTTACCGATTATGTTTTTTAAAGGTAAATTAAAGAATTTGTTTGATGGTAAATGTGCATCTGGAAGTTCATCTGCTTTGGACCAGTCACAATTATCAGGAATTCATCCTTTCATGAGTGCAGAAAGTATTAGTTTGGATGAGAATGCTGTAAGAATTTTTTCTTTATAATAGATAGTGTAAATATAAAAGTTTGATATCCGTCACTACTTAACAGACCATTTAATAAATTGTTAAAGTGTAATAATAAATTTAATGCTAAAAGTAAAAGTATAGGTTCTCAAAAATCAGCATAATATAAAGGACATGCACATGTGAAATGCGGTTTGGAAGTAATAGTAAATATTAATGCATTATTAAGAATGTAAATTAATTGAAAAAGAATTCAATCTTAGTCAGTATTTAACTGATAATTAGGATAAAAAAACATCTTCTTAAATCTGGCCTACAATTTCGTCAGCAGTTAATATGATATTTTATTGAATATTATACTTAAAAATATAAAGTAAAAAGTTAATTTATTGAAGTTGAACCAGTAAATCATTTTAAAAGTAACAAAGTAAAATGATATAATTCTAAAGCTTCAGGATTCGAGATCAGGATCTCATAGTTCATATCACACATGCGAGAGCTCTAAAAACAGCAGCAATTCAAAGCACAGTAAATCTACTGATATCAGCAACAACACTGAATCTTCAATTGGTGAATCGGTACTATCGGATTCTCAGCACACTCAGCATAATCAATCTACTTCACCTCTCTGCAGAGGACATTCATTGAAACGAATACCAAGGTAATTCAATACAGGTTATTTTTAATTTAGAATAGAGATATATATATAAATTTGTGGAGACGTTATTCTTTTATATTGTGTATTTTTTTATGTGTTTACTAACGGAAACAATTATTTAATGAAGAATTAACATAAATTTAAGATGATGCAAAAACACTGGTTCCAAAGTTGCAACAATAATAAGCTTTTCCCCAATTTGAGCAAACAATGAAATCCATTAAATAAACGAGTTCCCTTGAAACCACAGATCATGATCATCATATGGTTGTCAAATGTAATAATATTGATCTAGATCTAAGAATCGTGTTTTATTTTGAACAATGCTTTTTTTTTGCTTAGATGGCTGGACGAGCTCACAGCCAACCTGGTGTTAAGTGGATACTGGAGCCCATAGACATCTACAAGGTAAATGCGCCACCCACCTTGAGATATAAGTTCTAAGGTCTCAGTATAGTTACAAGTGTTACAACGGCTGCCCCACCTTTCAAACCGAAACGCATTACTGCTTCACCGCAGATATAGGCGGGATGGTGGTACCTACCCGTGCGGACTCACAAGAGGTCCTACCACCAGTAAAAATCTTAACATTGCCTTATTTCTGCATGCGAAAATGTATTATGTATAATAAATGCATCGATCCCGCGGATCAGTGGTCACTAATGAACAGGCAGAAGAAACGATCATCGGCTACTTAAATAAGTGCCGGGGCAGTACTTATCTTTCCTTTAACAGTTTCAGAGCAAAGAAACGCAAGCGAATACTCGACTGTGACGGGGACACTCCGACCGGTGTGACTAGTCTTGCTGAATCGAAAGAGAACCACAGCGGGCTCACACAAGAGATAATGGCTTTAGAATTGACTCAAAACACGCCGAAACGAATGTCCCTACATCCAACACCTGACAGAAGGAAAAATCCTCTGAAAGGTGTCTTGAAAAAAAGGTATTTTTTTATTTGTTGTATTTTGATTTTGGGTGAAAAAATATCTCCCCTAATTAAAATTAAATCATTTTTTGGCATCCATGCGTTGTGTCCGAACATAAACCGTGGTCTCACATGTGGTTAGTCGTGGTCTGTTAGTGTTATGTTGGTTAGTGTTGTTGTTTTTGTTGTGACAAACAGATAAGGATGTAGTAGTTTTCATAGCAAAACCTCCAAGACAAGAGATCTTGGCAAAGCTGGAAAGGCTTTCAGGCCAACAAATATCCTTCGAAACAAAAATAATAATTTAGTCAGAGTTAAAAATTTATGATTAAGTTTAGGATTGTCAGACAATATGAGTGTAACAATTTTCGAAACATTATTTTGTGTGAAATAAATGCATCCATCAAATCGACAACAGTCAGTTGCTTGGCTGTATCTCTGACGTTACTGATGTCCATGAGAATTATTATTGCTCACTGTAGGAAAAATAAATATTTTAAATTAAAAAGCTTTATATTTCTTCATAGATGGGCTTCACAAAACGACAGTCATCACTTTAACGTGGGAGTAATATTCTCAACACCAGTGTCAAATAATAAATCTGAAGCGACGAAGAAAAGGACGAAGGAGACCCGTTTCAACCTACCAAAGGATGATCTAGTTGATTCTCTAGATACAAAAAAGTGTGTCGTATTCGGAAAACATATTTCGAATAGTTTGGAGATGTTTCCTGTGCGGAGATTAAGTAAAGTACGTAGGTACTATGTATACCATACAAATATACAAGATTATGTATTACATATTTTCAATAATAAAAAATGAAATATAAATTATTAGTGAGTTGATAAATCTCTTTTTTTTATTGTTTTGATGTGTGGACGAGCTCACAGCCCACTTGGTGTTAAGTGGTTACTCAGTATAGTTATTCAGTATAGTGATAAATCTTTCAGGGGGAAGGATGTAAATCGCCTACAGAAATGTGCAAGACTCCATTAGCAGCTGTGCACACGCCGTACAGGACCCCCAAGAGTGTTAGAAGAGGCAATCTTATATCAGACCAAAGAATCCTGGGAACGCCTGATTATTTAGCACCTGAATTACTATTGAAGTAAGATTTTTTAATTGACATCGATTTTAAGTTCAGAAATAACCTCAATTAAAGTTAAAGTTAATACATACTATATGTTGAAATACAAACCAAATTGAAAACCTTCTATTAAAAAATCGACTTTCTACACCATGTTTTATTTGTTGTCTATAAATGCAAAAAGAGAAGTCTCTGTATTCTTTGCATTGCAGGTTCATCGAATATTAAAGGTTCGTTAGAAGTATTAATTATGGATACTGATATGATATATGAATGGTCGAATTCTTAATCATATAGGCAATTCCACTTGATAATAGAACGAATTACTATTTTCCAGTAAACATAGGCAGTACAGTAGTATAATATAATCAGTGCCTAGTGATCCAAGAAAACATTAATTATAATTGTTACTATATCAGGCAAGGCCACGGGCCGCAAGTCGATTGGTGGGCATTAGGAGTCTGCCTATACGAGTTCATGACGGGCGTACCACCTTTCAACGACGAAACACCGCAAGCTGTCTTCAAAAACATACTGTCTAGAAGTGAGTATAACAATACTTATGATGTGACAAAATACTAAAAAAAATGGTGTCTTTTAATTATTATGTTTGTAAACTCGAACTGAATGATCTATTAAAGACAATTTGTCAGTTCACAATATGATAACATGATACTGATTATAAGTACTGGGTGTTCGTAGACCGCTTCTGAAAAGGAAAATTTTGCCTACAAAGCTATAAATTTTGGGGAGTGTGCTATCAGCGCCGCGCCGGTGTGCGTGTAAAAGAAAAGCGCGCCCGGGCGTTCGTTGATCCGAGCATCAGCTGTTTTTGATTTTGTGTTTCATTGCTGGTTTTAATAAAAAGTAAATTAATGTATTTTTTATGAAACTATCATTTCATTTAGCCGACTAACTTGATGGAGCGTAACCAATGCGTTTAAAAATATGTTTTTTTTTTAGATCAGCATCGATTTTTTTCCGTCTCATCATCAAAGGTGTCTTTAGTACTATCGTCTGTCTTCGGAAGCGGTCTCTTAATACCCAATAGGCACATAATAAATGAAATCCAAATTTTTTATTATCATATAAACGCACTTTGCATTTTGTATTCCAGATATCGAATGGCCAGAAGGTGACGAAGCGTTATCGCCCGAAGCTGTGAGTTCTATCGAGGCTCTACTGACGATGGAGCCGGCGGAGCGCCCGGCCGCCGCCGACGTGCGGGCCATGCCCTTGTTCAGGAACGTTGACTGGGAGAACCAACTCAACACGGAACCGCCGTTCGTTCCCACGCCCGACGATTTACATGACACAGGATACTTCCAAGGTACACTACAGACAGACCGTTAGCTCCTTAATCAATTGTATTATGGGGGAAGCTGAATGCGGGAATCGTGGTAGGTAGTTCTTGATGCGCTGATGATGAAGTGTGAAGGCTGCAGTTGTTCCGTTGCAGGTCACCAATGCAGGGATATACGACGTAGGGAAGATTTTACACCAAGCGGGTGATGTTGCTCGGTAGACCGACGGTCCAAATGTGGTTTTTTTTTATCCCTACCTATGATGATAGCCTTACTCGTCGAGCCCTTCGTCGCAAGCGACGGATTCGACGAGAAGGATGACCGGTCCCAAATGTTGTTGTTTGGAACTTGTATATATGCAAGCTTTCTTGAAAATGTCGTAAGCGAGATTCAGGCATTGTGTTCTGCGATAGCTACTGCCACGACAATATTTTGGTTAAAACAACTTTATACAAATTGATAAATGTCGTAATAATAATTCATAATAAAGTGGGTGCACAGCAGAAGCATTTCTTTCGCATGTCTGCACTTTAATAGAGCTGACGTCATGTTACTGAATGTGCATTATTTTTCTGATTTCGACAACTACCCGCACCGAATTTATTTTCGACGAAATTTCTACATTTATTTCTATTTAAAAACTCAAAATTACATTCAATTGTAAAGTAACAAAGTATTTATCATCATTTAACTAATAACTTTTTGTTTCAGCCCGCAATATTTTACAACAACTCCAAGTATCAAATTTCGACATATAATTTTAAATGTTCATCATAAACCTTTAACTAGTTGAGAATGTTAGCTGCATAATAATGATCAGCGTGTTAATCTATATGAAAAGTATAAATGTTATAATGTATTTATAAATAACGTTGTAATAAAATTATATTATTAAGTCCTTTATTCTGAAGACTGATTTTGTGTCATTATTATTAACAATATGTATTATCGTTTCAGAACAAAAAAATGTATCTTTCACAGCATAGGTGCTTCAATTATATGAATAAATTTAATCTAACACAAAATAAAAAGATTATTGAAAAGTTTACGTACTTTATTTTAGAAACTTAAGCTAAATTGGCACATTTTGTTGTCAAAATAAAATATCAATTCATTGAGAAAAGCAAGCTTAAGGTTGTTTTTCTCAAAATAATTGAAATAAAATGTTTTAATGTTTTTCATAACGGCATCCAATTTTCTACCGTTATAACGTTTTATATATTTTCCTCACTTGGAGTTCTTCTGTATCCAAGGTAGGAAGGCAGTGATGCGTGTGTACACACCTGGGTACTGTCCTTTACCGCAACCGATACCCCATGATACGATTCCGACTTGGTTCCACGTACCACCTTCGTTGACCATCAGTGGCCCGCCACTATCACCCTAAAATTGAAAAAGACGAGTTGATTAAACTAGTAAAGCTATTGTTCTATGAAAAGAAAGAAAGTTGAGATAATGGCGGTGAAAGTAAATGCAAATTTTCAGACCAAATCTATCAATTCTGCTATCGTGTTAATGAGGCACGTGTAACTTAAGGGGACCAAGCCCGTTTTAAATCGAATAAATTTTATAATTAAAACTACTTTTACGCTAAAATAATAATCAAAGCCACTATGTTGTAAGAAGTTTTAAAAGTAAAAAACCTTGTCTGTTTGTTGTTTTAGTTCTAATGTATGTATAATGACTTCCTTAAAACGAAAATATGTGGTAGAGCTGGTGATCCCTAAAGAGACAACAATAATTCCGTTCGAAAAATCAATATTTACTAATTAACGTTTGACGTCGCACGCAATGTATAACAAAAAAAACAGCTGAGGCATAAGGCCTTTAAGAATACTGGACATCTGAAAATTATATAATGGCTAGTGAATATGTCCTATAAGCAGTATACATAAAAAAAAATATTTCTTCACATTATTTACACAAAGAGAATAATTATTTTATTGGATTATTCTTACACTGCAGGAATCCATACTAGCTTTTCCAGCGCAAATCATGTGATCGACTATACCGCCCGGAGCAGCGGGGCCGTATTTAAGTCGACATTCAGAATTAGTCCAAATCGGAATTGATACTTCTTGAAGAACAGACGGCTGCGGACCACCTAAAAAAATAATAGATATGTATAGAACGCTCGGCCTAACTTGGCTGAATTGAATAAATATCGAGAGCTCCCCTGTTTACGAATGAAACTAGATTTTTTCATTTTGTATTTTAGTACGGTGTTTTTTAAATAACTTAATTCAGCTATTTTTACTAATACTAAACTTACGATCTACAAGGCATCTGCATTAATATCCAGCACGCAGATAGCCCATAACAATAGATAGATATTTAATAGATATTTGACATTACTATTATAGTATACTTGAATTAACAGTTTAAATAATTTCAAAATATCTTTAGAGCCGAATATATGTTTACTGCTCTCTATTGGAGCAGAGTTTTTACTTTCTTGGAGTCACTGCTTTCACCTATAGTGCCTTTCAAAATAACATTTTATCATATTATACGACTAGCACTGCAATGAAATCTTTCTCGACGGTATTTTTGAGTTGTTGCATAAAATTATGTCGTTGAAACATCGCACTAGCATTGCCCGTAGAATTAGCGATAACTAGGAGCAACAGTAACAACAAACAATACCAGCAGTGTGCTTAGTGCAAGTTTTTTAACGTTCTCGATAGCGTAAAAGTTAACCCAATTTTGTATGCATTTGGAACAGCGCCCCTAACGGCAAACGAAGGCAAATGATACCATTCCACACAAATATGAGCTAACTTTTACGCTACCGAGAACGTTAAAAAACTCGCACTCACAGGTGAGCTGTAGGCGTGTCTTCTTGCTATAGTAATAAAACAAGATTTGGTCAGACAACCATAAATAAAGACATGCATAGATAATGATGCTGATAATCACATGACAATTTTTTCTGTGATCCAAGTGAACAATAAAAAAACTGAACTGATATTATTTTATAAAACAGAATCGAACGTACTCTCTCGCAAGCTGCCCCATCCGATGACAGTGGCAACAAGGCCAGCGTAAGCCCGACCGCCGCTCGGTAAACAAATGGGACGAATGTTCTTTGTAAATGTCACTGGTTGATCTAATGTCAGGATCGCAATGTCGTTGTACTACAATAAAAAATATACGATTGTTAATTTAATAGAACGTGTACCAGGAAGTCATACATTCATCAATATGATTTACTATACGTAAAATAGCTTAATACCAATGTGCGAATGTCAAAACCTCGATGCCTGACAACTCTTTTAATTTTTCGTTCGATGTGCGATGTTTCGGTGTTGGTTCGAATGTTGTAGTCACCCAGTCTGGCAGTGAGACGAGCGACGTCCCAGGAAGTCATACTGTTAGTAAAAATAATAATATAGGAATCATTTAAGTCGGTAATGCTATAAATGATATCGAATTAGATTTATCATATTGGTCGTAATCAATATAACTTTATTAATAAACTTACTGAGCTACGCAATGTGCTGCCGATATCACGTGTTTGTCGTCAATGATAGATCCTCCGCAAAATTGACGCCCAGCATTAAACAGGGCTACGATCCAGGGCCATTCGTTTAGCTCTGCGTTATGTCCACCAACAATGCGCTCTTCATCTTGAACATCGTATGTGCTACCGTATGCCTTAACCGTAAACAATAATGCCTATTAAATTGATTGACAATAAAATTTGAAGTAGTCGTCGGGGCCTAAACGTCCGGTCCATTAATATCGAGTGATTCAAATGTGCCCTTGTTCGAACCCCAGAGGCAGGTAAAAAAAATTCTAATGAAACGCTTTCGGCTTGATAGGTGGGGTAGCCTTTAGCCTGGCAGCATTTACGATTTGTCTACCCATATAAGAAATTGAAAAAATGCTCGAAAAGGAATATTAATTACCGTTGGTCCATTCTTCATACCGCAAGCGCCGCTGACTGCAGGCTGAGATGGTTTGCTCGGCTGCGTTGGGAATGCTGGAGGCCATGTCTAATTATAACAACAAAATTGTATCTTAAGAAACCACTGTGTTTTCCATTTTCATTACATTTGAAAATTCTCAATGTAGGTTCCGGTAAAACCTTCTTTAATTGATTACGGATTTTCTTTTCCCTCGCATGGATTCATTTTTACTTACCTACAGCTATTAAAAATAACAGTATAGGTTTGTCATTGGTGATAAATTAATTACCTGTTTCGTTGTAGGCTTGGTGGTACTGGGCGGCTTTGTTCCCCAAGTAGTAGTGGGTGGTGTTGGTTGAGCTTGTGGTGGTTTCGTGATACCTGCAGATTGCATGTTACAAGTGATATTTAGTTGTAAAAAAACTTGATAATGTTATCAAACGTATTTCTAGTAATTGTTAGTGAATTTTACCCATTGCAGGTGGATGGGTTGGCGCTGTGTGGTCAGGCGGGTGGGTAGGTAGAGGCGGAAGTGTGGGCGGCCATTGGGCCGGTATCTGACGAACCTCGCTAATACCTTCAAAAGGCCACTGAGCCGTCAATGCAGAAACACGACCTGCGAAGCTGATAATTTTCCCATATATTACAGTAATTCTATATTTAAACAATGAGCTCAATTCGCATGGTACTCACGCAGGTATCGGAGGTAGTTGACCCGGCAATAATCCTAATCTTTGCACATCCGGTTCTTGCTGAGGAGGGGTAACAACCGGCTCTGTACAGCATACACCAAAAACCTAAAGGTACATTTTACTGTAATTTTTTTACACATTAAAAAAGGAACTTATAATTGTAATCCATTCAATTTTCGCCCAAACCATGTCTGTATACATTAAATTACTATACGTGAATATTAATTAAACCTTTGTGTCGTTTAATAAATGTCACAAGTCATGTACCTCCATGTTGTCTGCGCTTATGTAGCTACACGTGTCGTAATGTCCCATCACCCAACCATCCCAGCCAGAAAGGTCGGCAACTTTAAACAGTGGATAACAATCCCGGAAACTTTTGCATGTACCCTTCTTGCCCATTGTCGATACACATTCCTCGCCGAAAGCGCCCTCGTCTGATTGCTACAAAATATTGTTATTATCTTGTTTAAATCGATCCAATTATTCTCACAGCGATATATCTGGCTATAATAGTGAAATATGTATGTAATCGAAAACCAGATTTGCATATTTAATGGTTATTGCAGTTTTAATATACACTGGAACATGTTCTTTTTTTTTTAATTCCATTTGTGCAGTTGTTTTGTTTTTTGTTTCGATTACACCAGCTATACCTTCATCGTTAATGATGTTAATAATTATAGCTTAGTAAATACAGCTTGGTATGCAGGACAGATGGTGATGCTAAATATATTTTTTACATCGTTCCATAATCGAAATTTTGCTTTACCCTAGAAACATCACTTTGCATACTATTCGGGCATAAAGCCACATATTTTAACAAACTACTTCGATTTCATTTCTATCATAATTATGTCAATTAGTTTTTAATGTTCTTTTTTCATACTTCAGGGGTTCTTTTACATTACAATTTCAACAAATGTAATGTCATAACTTTAAAAGAAGGTTCTACTATTAATTTAATAAAAAATTGAAGCTGTCTGTCACGTAAGCCGAAGTAGTCGTGGCCTAAGGATAAGACGTCCGGTGAATTCGTATGTAGCGATGCACCGGTGTTCGAATCCCGCAGGCGGGTACCAATAATAATTTTTGTAATGTAATACGTATGTACTTCAGAATTTTTCACGATTGACTTCCACGGAATAACGTCGTGTAATAAAAATCAAACCCGCAAAATTATAATTTGCGTAATTACTGGTGCTAGGACCTCTTGTGAGTCCGCACAGGTAGGTACCACATTATGACCATTCCTTTGCGGTTGAAGCTGTCCGTTTATGGAATGCGTTACCTTTAAGCGTTAAACAATCGTCCTCGCCGGAAATTTTCAAGTCCAGATTGAAATCGCACTACTTTGCTTCTATGATATAGCTGTATAAGTTTCTACTTCTTTTGTATTTTATCTTGTATATTTTTAGTATTTATTTGTATTTAATCGTATGTAAGTTTATCTTATATGGTATTTATTTTTCACATGTGTATTTAAGTATATATTTTTATGTAAGTTTATTAAGATATAGCACCGTCCAGTTAACTTATTCCTCTCCCTGCAAGGTTGCCTGGAAGAGATCGCTTTCAGCGATAAGGCCGCCGATTTATATACCGACTTTTGTTTTATTACTTTACTGTGTACATATTAAGGTGTTATATAAATAAAGAGTTATTATTATTATTATTATTATTACCACAACCCCGCCTATTTCTGCCGTGAAGCAGTTATGCGTTTCGGTTTGAAGGGTGGGGCAGCCGTTGTTGTAACTATACTGAGACCTTAGAACTCATATCTCATAGTGGGTGACTGCATTTAGGTTGTAGATGTCTATGGCTCCAGTGACCACTTAACACCAGGTGGGTTGTAAGCTCGTCGGCCCATCTAAGCAATAAAAAAAGCCAATTAGCCCAAAACGGTTGAAGTCAATGGGCATCTATATTTTAAATTTCGGCTCATTGTCCGATTAAGATTCTTTATGAAATTTTATAAAAAATGCGTAAAAATTTCGAAGTTTCTCAAATCCATGCTTCACATATTAATTGGAATTTGGATAGAACAACTTCGCATGGATAAACTAGTAATGCTATGAGATTGGTCTGATGTACTCACCTGTCTAGCTTGCAATAGCAGAAGTTGTTTTCCGTCTCTGGTTGAATTCGTTATGTCACGTTTTGATCGGTCTACATGGGCTGAAAATTTGTATATTTATTGTTTTGTGGAATAATGTGATTATCCAATTTATAATCCGAATTATTAGCTCAGTCTAATTCATATAAAAAATATATATAATAAAATTTTAAGAATGCGATTATGAAAATAAAAAGTCGGTACTGGATGAGTGAACGAAATCACGACCTACCTACAGTTAAGTTGTTGTGGAAACTCATCAATATCAAAACGTGAATACCACCACCTACCGTGATACATGAGATCTAAATCTTAATTACAATTAAGTTCATGAAAGTTATCCTAACGTTAAAAGCAAGAGGTTCGTTCTTTGGATGGACTAAAATGAGCGGAATAGTGGTGGTACCTTTCCTTGAGGACTCACAATACGCCCGACCACTACTAATAACTCAAATAAATTAATTATTCTGTTACTTAGTTAAACCTACTATACAATCTCGTTGCTGTTCCATCCAAGAATCCAATTCTCGCCAGAACAGAATTCGGAAAAAGCAGTGCTGACGTGGAATTAAAATCTTGATTCCTGGATTTGAACCTATTTAACTCATTTTGCAGTCTGGTAACATTTTATTAATATCGAGACGGTTGTGATTATGCCTCGTAATATGTGTGTAATAGTGTGTCATAGCTTTCAAGCAGACCTCTATGAAGCTATTCATTTGCCTTCCAGAAAACAATAAATCTTTCCTTATGAAACAAAAACTAAAAATTGACGACTGAACTCAAAACTTAATTACAATATCGTTGATTGTAATTCGATTGTTTTAAAACATTACGTATGCGATTGTAACAAAAAAAATATTCTTATCATTAAAATCAAATGAAATTACTATTCCGTCGCGGTCCAAACTCAATGAGTACATCAACAAAAGAGTTGTAAACATGCACGTTATTTATTTCGATTTACTGTGTAACGGTATTTTGGATATTGAAACGTTTTCATTGGAATTTTGAAATGCATGCTTAGAATACTTAATTTTTTGAATGACCTACTTTTGAAGTGTTATTTTTGTGAAAACAATTTATAGGCTTCATTTTAATTTTTATTATTGTGATCTAAACTTAAAAACATATTTTATTTAAGTTGTCTCTGAAAAAATAAGAAATGCTCTGTGTCATTTGCAAATACCTAACTATAAGCGTTGAGGCTCAATGATGGGCTTTTACAAGCCTGTCCTTGTCTATCTTAAAATTAAAACAGTCTTCATTTACTTGCACGCAATTTACGACCGAGTGTTCTAAATATTTAAACCTGAATTCATGCGACACAGTGCTTCAACCTTTAAAGGTTCCTAGATTACAAATGAAAAAGGATTATTTTGACAAATTTGCCAAGGGAAAATCGACTTAAAGTACTCAGTACGCTGATACATTTCTCGTTTTTTGTTTTAGAATGGATTGCTTTAAGTAGCTGTGGAATGTTAATGGTGCAGTACCTTGAACTTGAGTTGGTAAAATGTTGCATTTTGATATAGTTTTATTAACTATTCACCGAGAACACGAGATTTACGATTGATGTACTGGATTTTTTTAATGTGTTTTATTTTGCTAGTTCCTACCAAAATGTGACTGCTATCGACCACTTACGGCGTAAGATCGATGTCTTCATTGCATCGGAAGAATTTACTCTATCTTCAAACAAGAAAACAGCAGAAATTACATAATTGAAGTGATAATAATCAAAGCAGGGTCACCTCACTACTTATCTTTTGAAATGAATATAACAGAAATAATAATATACCAGAAACTAAATCGATAATTGTAGATAAACTTTCTGTTTGTTTGCAAGGTTCTCTATTTGTATCGAAATGAATCTCTGTAACAAATGTTGTCACTACAGGAGATATTTCTTCTTTAGATAATTGGCACGGCAATTTCCACAGATGGTGGTGGTAGAAAAAAAATTGTAACTTTTTGTTTTCCTTGTAACCTTTTTTGTAACGTTTTTAACATTTCACGCAATGTAAAGCGGTTAAAAATTAGTTAACGCCCGGATCGATATTTTCATTGTGTATTGCTTGCTATTGTTTGTATATTATACTTTCTTTGCTTTCGATTGTGGGATATTAAATTAAGAACGAAAAATATTTTTAGTTTGTTTAATTCATTAATAATGTTTTACGTTTCCGTTAGAATAGTAGTCAACTTGATTAACTCACTCCTTAACAACAGTCACCGTGAAGTATATCCGAGTTTCACGCGAATGAATATTTTTGATATGATTGATGTGGTTGGTTTTAGTTGTTTTAGTGATGTGGGTGTATGGAAATTTGCATTGAATTGAACCGCTTATTATTAGTGAAGGCCCACGTGATGAGAACTTCTTGGTAATGGTTCGGGTTGATGACCACCGCCGATAGACTTGTTTTGAAGATCTTAATATTATCGGTGACTAATTATATTTTTAATCGCTCCACAATAATATTGAATTTGGAGACCCTAATCTGTTCTCGTTTTATTGATTTAATGTGTCTACATTTTTGTGATTTAAAATGCTTTTATAGGTTTTATTTCCGATCGTAATTTAAACAGGTGGTCGGACATCTCGGTTGCAAATTTTAACTTTCTCTAGCCTAAAAACCTCATAGCCGCATGTGACACGCATTGTTTTTAGTTCAATCAGTTCGTGTCCACATGTGGATACTTCACTTTTCCCTTGATGTTAGATGTAAACAAACACCACAATTGTTTTTAAAAATAAGCAACCCATAAAACAAATTCTTAATACCTTTCTTAACGGAAAGTGATTTATTTTCTCAATGAACACGAACAAGACCAGGAACGGTTTATGAAATATGTAACGATCATAGTTGTCTATGAAAATAGAAAACAAATTAAATTAAAAAAAAAAAAGCTTTTTACACTCACCATTAATCACAATTGCATCGTCAGTATAAAACGCGCCATCTTTTGAGGAAAATCCGTAATCTGTTTCGGGCACATTCCCGCTACAGATAACGAATAGACCAGCCCAAAGCACCGCAAATTGAATCCCTAACATTTTTATCATTTAAGTTGACTACATTCACAATGAAAGTATCTTACGGACACGGACCCTCCTAGCTGCGCGTTGCGTGTATGTGCAGCCCGCAAGGAGTCACTTCGCAAAATGCTTCGACTTCATCATGCCGCGCCTTTATAATATTTTTACACTGACGCTCTACATTAGGTTAAAAAGATAACAGAACTTTTTCTTCTTTTGTTGTGAGCTGACATTCGCCGCCCAATACGAATTGGCTTTATAAAATATGACAGCCATTTGCTCGCCCGTAAAGGCATATCGATTGATGGTGTTTATTTTTGCGAAGTTCACACGGCGTCATAACAAAGACTTATTTTGGAGATCAACGAACCTTGTCAGCATTTGATCACAAAGGACAAAGCAATAATGGCGGTGACAAAATTTTATCTTGGCCTTATTTATTTGCAAACGTACCATCGAATCGTTAGATAATAGGAAATGCATATACCTGAAATGTACACAAAGATATAATTTTACAGGCCTTTTTTATGTGTATCTTCTTGTAGATTATTTATTGTTGATTTGTGTCGCTCTAACCTAGTGGTAGGTGGTTACCGTCACTCTCTATAAAGGTTGGCATCGTTAGAGATACAGAAAGGCCGTAGCCAAAACGACTCTTTATCATTTATTTTCTTTTAAATTACCAGATGTCCATTAAATTAGCTATTTGAATCTTTTTAAACTTTGCTAAATACAGACTGAAATATTATCGTAAATAAATGACTGGAAAACCTTAAATAAACACGCTGTATTTAAAGTGTACTAAACTTAAAAGCTCCCGATTAAGATCAAGATACCTCATTTTCAAGAGATGTCAATTATAAAAGGGCGCTTAAAAAGATCAATTAATAATTTGTTTCGGTGCCCTAAACTTAACCTTTGCTTAATTGACCAATAATAAATCTTGTTTTTTCCTCGTGTCAAATCTTTATCATGTGACGAGAATGAATCAATATAGGTCCGAAGCATTTTTGTACGCATCATGGTATGCAAACCGCAAATTTTAGTCACCAAAACAAAAAAGCCAATGACCTGCAAAATAAAAATACATAATTTGAAGCCAAGAAGTTGGATTTTATAATAGCATATGGAAACATAATGAAATATACATTTTAAAGACACAGTTATTGAAAATATTGCTGGGGTATTTTGAAATTTGTCTTTTCTTTTGAGGTTTTGAACCAAAGCTTTGATTACATTTTATGTGCCTTTTTAAGAACGTTTTTTGGAATAGGATGCTTAATGAAGAAAATAATGATTTTACAATATTAAAAAAAAAATCAGTACAAATTTTCGTTAGGATCATTTTTGACTAAAAGCCACGAAATCTTTTCTGAAGACGAAAACGATATTGTGTCCTACTTGGACTATACTTGGATATAACTTGAAAATAATTATTATTTGTTCCTACTACCTATATGGTATCGTTGGAGTTAATTCATATTTTGTGAATCTGCTATATAAAACGGAATACTACGCTGAAAGCATCTCGAGATATTTTTAATTATTTTGATAAAGTGTAATTATGAGATTGCAATTTCCGTATTTTTTTTCCTATCAGGAATTATTATCACTACCAGCTGTTTTCGTTGGTGAGAAAGAGAATCGGCATATTTAGTCTGGAACATTCCCCGGCCAAATGGACCGACGATATACTGCAGCAGGAGTAGATGAGGAAAAGCTAAACCGGGCTCGGTGACACAGATTGGGAAAGGCTATGTCCAGCAATGGACAAGTGTGGGCTGAAGATGAATGATAAATTAATGAAGTCCAAAAAAATAATGATAAACGGTTCCTGAGATTTTAGCTGTAGCGATTTTTGGAACTATCTTAAGATTGGTAACTATTATGACTTATCTTTGTTTATCACAATGTAACATGAATAATTTAAATCAGATGCTAAACCGATTGCATTAAACATAACTAACAAGTTTCTGGTTGAACAAAGAATATTAACGGCTTAATAGCCAGTATGTATTTTAAAAAAAAAATTACTTTTACATATCTATTTTACTTTCTTAATCTCGTAGTCTAAAAACATAGCACCACTTAAATTTTAAATTAAGAAGTCGCGAAACGCAGTGAAATATTTTTAGCCCAGTTACGATGTTGAATTGAAGATAAAATATCTTCATTAAAAACGGATGAAACACGATCTCAAGATACAACGCCACGCAAACTGAACAGGCGAGATTAGATTTAAATGCGCGCTATTTAACTCCATTAATCTTATTCGGATACCGTTATGTCAATGCTGTCGATCTTGTGCTTGCAAAAATTGAAGGAGGTCTCCTATTTACGTGTACACGAATAGTACAGAGGGGCTCACGTAAGGTAAGTGAGTACTAAAATAATCGGTATGGTTTTTAAAGTATTCCACATTCGAAATTTTCATTCACTGAACAACAAAGATATTCAGTTAAGAATGATTGAACTTGTATGGGTATATTATTCCCGCCTCATTTGTTGTTGATTAAACATATTCATTAAGTTTTTTATAGATCTGTTTTAGTTTTAGTTCATTTTACAGATTACATTTTATATTACAAGAAAACGAGTAGGTTAACCCACGCTTTTTTTTTATATTTACTAATGAAATAATATCTAATGAAAGTTTCAATAAAAAAAAAACATTTCAGTTACCGTTGACTTGCCAGACATATCTATCGTTGAAGCTTGTTATCTGTTACGTTGTAATTGATAGGTTGACGTTTGCAATTTATTCAAGATAATTAGCAACGCTAACGGCAATCTCGATGCATAGCAATCAAGTTGTGCAGGATTTACTAAACTGTTTCTGAAATGATTTATTCTTCGTTGATGGGTATTTTTTAAACTTATAGAAGTCATTATGTACCAATTTTCTATAAAGTGACATGTCTTCTGTCTTAGAGAACACTAAAAAAGAATGAACTGTCATATTTTGTTCTGTTATTTATGGTTGGTTGCAATTGCTTTCCCGTTTCCCGCTTATATCTACTTTCCCGTTTATATCTACTTTAAAAATAATATAATTTAACGGGTTCTTACCACGATAATTAAAATGAGGTCTCGATATTTTGGTGCTGTTACAAGAACCGCTGTCACGTGTAGATCGAGGCTTAAAATTAAGTAATGGTGTTAATTATAATTTAGCATCGTTTAGTGGTACAGCATCGCAAACTCATGCTCATGTCGCCAAATGAGTCTACGTCGATAATCAATCGTCGTGCAACTCGCAGGCTATTTTGAGATTCCTTCGCGTCAATATAAACAACCAATTCATCGCACCAAAAAATTTATTATTCGAGAAGTGACCTCGAAAAATGTCTGATTGACTCCTCTATGCTGGACTATGATAAATCACTGACGAAATTGACGACTGCTTTACTTCGTTTTATTTGTAAAATTTGGCCAAGGGCTCCAGAAAAAGTGGCTCAAAATTGATGGAGTAGCACTTTCTATGTGAAGAACAAAAGCGATGGCCATGTGTCCGAAATTAACTAAACCTATTCTAGGAATTTCCAAAAACGATGTTTTTAAAAAAAAACACCCCCTGTTAACGTATTTGATTTTAATTGAGATAATATAGTTTATTGACTCCAGTTATTATGTGTTGAAATCACTTTCCGAGTAAAATTGTGTTGAATAACATAAATTAATATTCAATAAGCAATCATTATTATAGATAAATCGACTAAGAAACAATATGCACATCCAATACACCAATTAAACAACATACAATAAACTTTCAAATATTAGCAGCAAAAAATAATCTGAATTAATTGTTGGTTTAAGTTTTGCGAGAACAAGGATTATGACTCATTATTCAGTCGCGGTGAAGAAAAACATACGTTTTTAAATATAACTTCTAAATGTTCTTGATACCAGTTTTTATAATTTTCAAGTATTACAATAGCATCGATTGCACCCTCGCTTTCTTCGCCACTTCGCTTTTTTTATTTTTGTGTAGAAGCAAAATCTAGAGCGTACCTATTGCATAGCTGCGAAAAACTAATGTTTGGATTCGTTCTCCTTTGAGGATTTCGTTGATGGACCCGCAGTGATTAATTTTGGAGACAGACTGTATGTTGGTATTATGAATGTGTCATCGGAGTACCGTACACATCTGTCGGAGCCCATAGCCATCACAAAGTGAATGTTGCCAATAGGTAGGATAATGTTACCAGCTCGTGTGTGCTCGCCGTACATTTTTAATTCATTGCAATAGTTCTAAGGTTTAATCAGTTTACTTTTCAAAAAGAATACTGTATTTTTGAAGTAAAACTCCTTTAGGCGCGTTGAGAGTAAAATATAACTTGCAACAGATTCATTACGGCTAGAGAGAAAAGACACAACTTAGGAAGAGCCAGGGTGAGAAAATAGACAGTGTCTCGCGAACCACTCGACCGTGGAGAGGGAGAAAGCAAGCTAGGTCGTTTCTCATAAACAGATTCTGTTTGCGGGCGTCAGCCACGAGATGGCTTATTATTAGTTTATCATTGCTCCCGTAGATGGCAGTAACATGTTAACTAACATAAACTTTTAATTTAATTAAGGATTTTAAAAAATATATCAAATTTTCTATATATAATTTAAAATATACACTCGAGAGCAATGAATCCGCGTCACTTAAAAAATCTGTAAATCTCAGAAACTAACAAGGGTGGCTTAATGAAATAAATTGTGTTTAGTAGACAATTAAATACTCCTTAAATTAAGGTATTAAAACTTCTTAATTATTGCAAGGTTATGTCATAAAAAAATCAAATTTGAAAAAGGGAGACTTTCGAAGATGGAACTACGAAATTACTGCATTTGATTTTGCTTTTGTTTCTAATCTGTCATTTAAGTGGGTATATAAACCATATTGTTAGTGTTCAATATTTATTATTCAACCTGTAATCATGTCGCTTACAACTAAAGAATGCCTCAGAATCCTCAAAATGCTAGAAACTGGCCGGAGTCAGCGCGATACAGCCAGGACTGTCGGTGTGTCGCTGTCAACAATACAAAGATTTCGAGGAGAATACGAGGAAACTGTCTCTAACCTTCGTAGACCAGGAACAGGCAGAACTAGGTGTATCACAGCAAG